TGTTGTATACAGCCAGGCGTACAAACAGTAATAAGCTTGTAATATGCACCAGCAATGCTGCTGACATATGAAATGAATGTGACTTACTTAAAATGCAGTCATAAATATGTTACCTATGGACATAAACCAGGTATTTGGTTAATTATGAAAATATTTTACCTCATCAAGCCACCTTAAAATTACAATTGTGAGAAAGCCCACATTGAAATATCCCCGGTCTTACCCAAAAGACACATTTTCACCAAGCCACCCCAACTGCAATTGTATTGAAAACATCTCTTGCCTCCATTCTGAATTACCATATTGATATCTAGTGGCATTGGTTTGTTTGTTTAAAGCCTTGAGTGTGCTTGTTCACAGCCTTTCAGTTATTGTATCACAGAGCTTCATTATTCAGTGTTTGAGAGCACAATCAGGCTGCTGGGAGCATTAAGGTGATAAATAGATGGAAAAGAGCAGAGAGGGGTTGAACAGAACTGCCTTCACTCTCAGTGTGTGTCTAATGTGTAAATAAACCCAAGCTCACCTCTGAGTGCTGGCCTGGTCAAAAGGTCTCAGTTTTTCAAGAAAATGCTCAGGGGGAGCAATGGATGCAATCAATACAGAAGAATAACAGAGTAAAATATGCCATTGTTACTTATAAAATTTACCAAAATTTACACACAAGGCCTATACTGAATTTCTGTCTACAGATTATAAAAGTCAAGAGACAGTGGGAACAGAAGAGAAATATCCAAATATTATTTCATCCCCAATTTAAAGTAATACAGGCTGATGAAGCCAAGTTTTAGTGAACTTTATAACCCACACACAAAAAGGCAGCAGCCTTTATGAAACAAAGTCCATAGGACAATGCTGCCCTCTGGTGGAAGAAGTATTCTAACACAAGGTTCAGTACTACGATATACTGCTTTACGCCTGTAAACATAGTTTTACCCATGTCCCTTCAATTTTCTTTATAATTATGTGCCTTGAAATACACTTCCTATCACCTAATGTGATAGTGATCAGTAATACTTAATAATGTCATTGTTTAAAGGAGGATTACACTAATTCTTCTAAATTTCTACACAATTCAGTTAAGATATAAACAAAGTCGTTCAGACTGGTTTGATGTGAAATGGTGCATTTCAGAGAAATTTTCCAACTCAGATTTTTTTTACAGCAGTGCTGATAGGATCCATGGGTCACGATATATACAACACAAATATAGCCAATTTATTTACCATCCAAAATTACCAGTGAAGCTACTAGTGTCTTTTTAAGTTTTTATATGTAATGATGACAATGGTCATCTGTAAAATATCGACGTTTCCTTTGGGGACTGTTTTGCCTTACAACGTCCTGCACATACTTCGCCGGTAATGTATTTAAAAAAAAAAAACTTAGGCAACATATTTGTAATGATTTCATTTAAATACTTTCTGTGAGCTACCTTTTAGATGCATTTAATGCCACTTTTCTCTAGAATGGGGCATTTCACATCAAACCCCTCTGAATGACATTTTATATTTTAACGATTTAATTTTTGCAGAAATTTTGAAATATTAGTGGAATTCCCCTTTAAGCCAATAATGATTCATCTAACCCATAACAAAACTGTCCAACCACAAAATATAGATTAAATCTGAGGGGCTTCACTGAGGATAGTAGATGAATGACAGGAGGGCAGCTTTTGATTTTATTTTATCTTTATTCTTCACTTACATTTTCATATAAAATTTGTATGTTTTGTCTCCTCTTTAGGCAACAGCATAAGAGTCACTCTCGCAGCTGTGAACTCAAACCTCAGTCAGTCTTTCTGTATTAAGCACCTCTAGCACACACGCTTACACTCACACGCACCCACCCACACCCACACACACACTCATTCACAAGGCAAATCAAAATGGGTCTGACTTCATTTAGCGCAGTGGTCTCAAACCGCAGCATACCAAGAAAAGGGCAAGCAGGAACAACATGAAGAAAAAACAAAGTGAAAGCCCATTTTTCACACTCCAGCCATGCTAAACACAGCAGCTTTTCTCGCCTGCCTTTGGCCAGGACTGAGACCACTGGTTTGGTGGTGCAAAACTTTTTCTTTTTTATGTTAAGACAACAAATAGAGGCCAAAAAAGAAAAAAACACATACATATACACGCATACAACAGACTGACCCTCAGTGCACAGCGTTTTGGCCTGTAGCAGGCCCTTAGTTCGCCTTTTTGAATGATTCATCTGTTTCCAGGCTGATTTTTCTGCTACAGATACACGCTACAGGAGGAATGTGGTGGTAAGTGGCAACACTTAAACTACACTAAAAGGAGTGCACACAAGGATTCGACACATTAACCAGTCATGTATACGGAGACAAGATACACAGTAACAAAAAAGACCAAATAAACAGACACAAAAAAACACTAACTCCTCTATTTCACATAAACAGTGACCATATAAAACAAAGGATACCTTCTCCTTTGATTAGTCGTTTGCAAGAACAGTACTTATTGCAACTCTTGGTGGAAAACTGCAGAGATTGAGCAATTGAGCAACAGATCTGGATGATGCCTAAGGTCAAGTTTTCCAGTCAAGTTTCTTTAAACAGTAAACAAAGTTTCACTATTATCCATGTACTGACATTGCCATTTGGATAAATGCAGAGTAGCTACACAGAGTTATTTGTAAGAGCGGTCCTTGTGTGGACAATAAAGTTTGCAGCAACTGAAAAGCAGCGTAGGATGAAGAGCTGTAATTCTATTTTTGTGTTTCTGTGACCAGGAAAATGATTCCATTACTATGAATATGTAAACCTAAAACAACAGCACCTTTTTTGAAGTATGACAACTCATCATACAAACAGAAGCTTCATCACACTCTTATGAATAAATGCAAAACATCTCACACTCACTCTCATTTTCTCTCTCCCTTACACACACTCCCCTTCTCTGTATAGTGTGCACATATACACACAGAACAAAATGATAATTTTCTTGTTATTTTGTGTACATATAATTTAACATCACATTACTTTTTACACTACTTCAAAACACTTCCTATTTAATTTGACCAAAGTATTTTTCTTTTCCTTAATCAATGCACAAAAAAAAAAAAAATCAAAGCCTCTGAGAGCCACTGTAATATCAAAATCAAGACATGGAAGTTCCAACAATTGGGCCTAATGCATAATAAAATGAAGAAAATATAAAAGACATGAGTGCTGCATGTCCTAAACGGAATTTCACTCTCTGCCCAGAGCACTGAGAAGATTTGTCAATATACAGTTATGAGCACTTGGTGACAGCAACAAAGTGCACTGCAACAAATTCAAATGTTATCTAAGATTTCTCTTAAACAACTGCACCTATTAGGACGGTGGTCCAGTGCTACAAAGACGGTTTCTAAACTGACTGTGTCCAAGCGCAAATCATAGCTATGATTCCACATTGTCCCAGCATTGTGCTCACTGGGGTTAATGGTAGCGATCATATGGAGCTACTGGATGTAACATACAAAGAAAATGTTTCATTAATCTACAAAGGTCTGATGTGCAAATTAAATTTGTGGAATCTCATTCGCTAAAATCGACTTTATGGTTTTAAATGATTATTTGCAATCATACACTCTCTTTGCCCTCACCACTCGGCTGTGGTTAATAAAGAAATGCTCACTCTGTGATACATGAGTACAGTATGGTAAAGAGAAAATAGGGCAAATTTGCTTTTAGAAAAGACTTGAACAACACAAAGAAAAATAAACTGTACTGGGTTATTCCATGCCAAATGACTGGGGCTTGACATCACCCATTACAGATCTTAGACACAAGAGAAGTGATGCCAAAAGGAACAGTACTAGCTGAGCACTTTTTTGTGAAAATGCTGGTTGAGTCCAAAAAAAAGTCTATTTTGCATTTGCTCAGTAATTTCATTACCATTACAAACGTATTGCTGGTTTTGTAGACAGAAAACAGAGCATCCTAAATTAACATCCACAAACATTACTCATGTATATGATTATTTGCTCCAATCAGAATACCTTTAAGTTAAATTATCTAGATTTTAAGTTGAATTATTCAGATGTGGCTATGCCCTTGCCTGAAGGAGCTAATATGACAACTTAAATTCAAAGTATGAGAACTTGTTTCATTAGCAGAGATAAGGTCCGTCCAGTTTAGTTAAAACTGTAGAACTCAAGAGCTGTACTTAAAAATCTTAATGGCGGTTTTGGATTCCTCTGACTTCTTAACAAATCTTTATTCACTTAGAGAGTGTCTGAAATTGCTCACTTTAACCTCAATACATCATTTTGACTGACATTATTCTTTGGACCCAGTGAACAAATTCACAAAAAATGTGCAAAACCGACATTTATAAACAGTTGTGAAGTTTGAGAACCCTGTAGAATTATTTGGATCTGTCACAATAAAGGAAACTGTTGCTCAAAACTGTACATTAGCTCTGAGATCTGTGATGAGTAGCATCAAAAGCTCTTTTCCTCAGATTATTTGACAAGCAAGACCCCTGTGCAAACTAACTGCACATTCATTCAAGCTCCTCATCAGTTAGCCTTTGAAAAAGCCTAATCAAGTTTTTTATGTGCATAAAACAAGCAAAAACAACCTCTCTCAACCTTTTGCTTGCTCTCAGCAAACACTTGTACAGTACATGAAACCCAAGTATTACCAGGATTTTTATATCTATTCTAGGGGAGGGTTACTATCGGACATCCTTGTTCAGTTTCACTGCTAATTTTCAGCTTACATCTGATATCCAACTAACATCTCCTTCAGTTAGCAACACCTTGGAGCATCCTGCTCTGCTGATATTCTGCTGATAATTCCACTAATAAAAAAAAAAAAAAATCAGGGGGCTACTGCAATGGAAATTGAAGGCATCTGCAGAGCCCCCAAGGAGCCACTGGGCCATCCTGAAAATGCTTGCTCCTCAACATAAAGGCCACATTTTCCACCAGTATCAAATACTGACCTGTGAGTCTGCTCAGCTTTCTCCTCCCCTCTGTCGTGCTTTTCTTTTTAAGTTTTTTTTTAAATAAATTATTATTCTACTATTTTTTTCTTTTCAATAACTTATTTTAACCACAAAAGACCTACTTCAAATACAGTAAATGCTTATCGCCATTTGAAACGGACACGAACCAATCAGTAACTGTTCCTTTTTAAAATCTAATGGTTAACATCACTCATCCTATTAAACTGATCTACCCTGTGTGGAGTAGGCCCTCTTGAACTTTAATATAAAGCTTGTGCAAAACATCTGCAGTGTTGCTGGGCTCTAAACTTCTGGAGGAAGCTGGATTGTCTCTCCCTCCGCTAGAAGATGGGTCTCCTCCTGGTTCTCTGTGGTACCCGTTTTAGAGCCAGACTGGACCTCTTCATCATTTCTAATGTCTGGACATGGGGAAGGAGAAGCACTAGAGCTTTCCGCCTGATCCTGCCTGCAGGTTTGGGGTTCTTTCTCAGCGTCATCTCCTCCAGGCTCTTCCTCTTGCCCTTGAAGTGTCTCAAAGGCAGCTGTCTCCACAGGGCTGAGCTGATAGTAGAGCAGAGAGCCTGATTCATTCAGCAGATTCTGCTGAGCTGGAGCTTCTTCTTGGTTTTCTGTGATGCAAAGCAAGGTGGTTCCTCCAGGGAAAGCACCTTGTAGAAGCATTCCTTCTACACTATCCATTGCCCCCACGCTCTCCATTTCCTCGACACCACCCTGGCTGCTCAGCTCCCCATGCAGAAGACAAAGCCCCTGGTCAGGGTCCTGCACCTCCTCTCGCTCCCTCCTCCTCTCCTGCTCCTCAGCACTCTGGAGGTGCAGCACAGCTGTCTCGTTCTCTCGCTCCAGGCTGTTGCACTGCTCCTCTAGAAGCTCCTGCTCATTCTGCGCCTCTAGGGTCTCCACCTCCACCTCTGAGTCCAGGGGAGAGAGAGAGAGAGGTGGGGAGAAGGAGGATGAGGCCAGCTCCACCCCCTCTCCACCAGAGTCTTCCTCACCGGGCCTGGAGCCCAGCACCCGTCTCTTCTCCATGTCCAGCTTCATGATGGTGTGTAAGTAATGGGTGCGCACGCGCAAAGGGTTGAATTCTATCCGGCCAGCCGTGTTGTGGCAGCCATCACGGGAGCAGCCACATGGGAAAGACATTCTGTCCACCTGGCATAGAGAGAGGGAAAAATGGTCTGATGCATGTTGCACTCTTAATATAGGTTCCTAAAACAATTCTATAAATTCTTTAGAATATTTACATTATGTAGAAGGTCTTTAAACTTTAAAAAATGTTCTTTACACTGACATATTTAATTTACAATTATGGTTCTTTTCAGCACGTTTTTAAGAGTGCAGGTCTGTTTGACCCTTTACACTCCAGGCTTCTTACTCAGTTATTAATAAAAGGCCAATATCATGAAAAATGGATGTAGAATGTAAACATTATTACAGTTTCAAAACATAATATTCACTCCCTACCCCATACAATCCATATATATAAGTTATAAGGATTGTTTCAGCCCAGACTGCTTTCTGCGTGAGGCAACATATATCAGTCTTAGAGGCATGGTAACAAAAACAGCCTGTTGAATTCTAAAGGATAAAGAGAGGTTGGAAAACAGTATAATGTATACATTTGAAAACAAATGATGACTGGTTTAGGTGCATAAAATCACACAAATGTTATAAGTGAGTGGGGGGGAATAAAGCTCAAGAAAAATGTAGGATATGGGCCCTTTAGCTTCAGGTTTATTATGCACTAATTAGTATGATTATTCAGGAATTAATTATATAACTAATGTACACTCATGAAAAAATTAGGACAACCATGAAAACTTTAACATATTTAAACATGTGGACATTTGATCTTTGAAAAATAGAGGTAATACAACTACATAAATAAAACTGAAGAAATGTCTTTGAAAAATAATTTGCAAAATGTAATTTTCCAATTTCATTGTGAGGAAAAAAATAGGACACCGCCACATGTATACTACTTAAAATGCCTAAAATCAGGTGTACCACATAAGCTGCAAACGATTAAAACATCATTATAGATGATTTTGGAGGAGTCTATCTTATTTAAACCACAGACGTTTAGTTTGGTTTGCTCTTGATTGTTAAAGTGAGTGGTGAGATCCAAAGGGCTCTCTGAGACCTTCAGAAAGACGTCTGCAGATGCATATGAGTCTGGGAAGGGATTTAAAAATATCTCAAAACAATAGAAATCAGTCATTCTATTGTCCGTAAAAGAACAATCAATCAATCAACCTTTATATAAACTCAGAGTATATTGAGGGAGACTTATTTGTATGTAGCCAAGCTAACACAGAAATCAGGTTTGAAAAAACTGGACTGTAAAAACATATCAAATACAAAAAAAGTAATAATGATAATAATAATCATAATAGTAAATTGCATAGTAAAAAAAAATCAATAAACCATTAAAATTGTAACAATATAAGGACCTAATAAATAATGAATCAAACATTTGAAAGCGCATTTGTCATCTAGCCGTATGTTATTTGTACTGACTAACCCAGTGTCAGATCCCTTCAGGGTTGTGATTTTAAAAATGTTAAAATCAATGTTAGAGGCTCTGGAAAACATTGCATAAATTTAGACTAGTTTATGATTGTAAAAAGCCGATTGTAGAGCATTAAAAATTCTGCAGTTTTCCCACTGCAGTACCAACTTAGTCAGCCGAGGAGTACAAGATGGTGTCATCGGCATATAAATGTACTTTGCAATCGACAACTGAGGTGGTAACGTTATTAATATAAATATTAAATGATCCTGGTCTGAGGATCGAACCTTGAGGGACCCCCACAATTACCAGTAGTAGCTCTGATTTACTTTGTCCCAGGGCCACACATTGCTGACTAGCGGAGAGATAATTTCTAATCCAATTCAAAGCCCTGTGGTCAAAAGCAATATTTTGCAGACTTATTAAAGTAAAGAACGATCAACTGTATCAAAGGCTTAAGAGAGATCCATAAAAATGATTGCACAATGTTTCTTTCAAAGGCACCGAGAACATCGTCTACGACGAAAGCAGCAGCAGAGATTGCACTATGTTTTTCTCTAAAACCAGATTGGTCATTTCTAAGATTTTGGCTAAGCATGACAATTTACGTTATTAAGATCTGAGGGATCACCTCCTTTGTGAAGTGAAATTAAACATGCTGTTTTCCAGATACTGGGAATTCTGCTTGAAAAAAAATGTGTAATGTGTTTTAAAATAACTTTTTTCGTGCTAAGGGCTTTAACTACTATGCAAGGAGAGAAAGAATGAATTGTGAAGAGACCACGTCTTACAGCAGGGGGTGTATCTATTTCATTGAGAGGCGCTTCCATATTAGCATTATCAAAGACATGTCCAGTAGCCGCAAAGTGAGTATTAAATGCTTGGCAGAGCTCTCTCTGTTCAGAAATCTGTTGACCATTCATTACAATATGGGTTTTAATAGGCATTCATTTATTTTTTAGCAAACTGACTTATAAAATTTGAATCAAATTTAACTTTTCAAAAAGATTAATACTTATTTTCAGTCATTCTGACATAAATGTATTAATCATTTTGCCAGCTTTTTCTATTTGCTGTGTCACCCTGTGTAATATTGGAAATTGAAGTATATTAGGTAAACATAGCTGTTTGCAGCTTTGTTTTGCTAGCACAACCTAGCAAAGCTGTGTCCGCTAAAGAGCTAACTAGGTGAGCTTTGCTGTTTAAAAATTAAATCAGTGTTTAATAACACTGCTTCTGGAGATCTACAGCTCTGCATGGTTTCTTACATTAAAACACCTGATCCAGTTCATCAACTGATTAATGAGCCCTTCATGAGCTGAATCAAGTGTGTTGGGTCAGGAACTCGTTGAATCTGTAGTGCTGTGGGGTCGTATGAAATAATGCAGCACTGACCTAAACACAGTGAAGAGCAGAAAATACCTTTGATTCATGCCAGCTATGAGTTACTGCTGCCATAAGATAGTTGATAGACAGTAATGTTTATTCATTACAAAAAGAATCAAGTCAACTCGTCATGGTTGGGAATTATAAAGGCTGTTCTGTCAGTCTTTTGTTGTTTCTACCCACAGAATGTCTGTGCTGGTCACTGAAACAGGCTTTCTATCTTAGCATGCTAGTTTACAGGATGCTGTTGCTCCAAATCACTGTCTTCACATTAATACAGTGAACAAACTTTAGATATTTAAGCAATTTAATCCCATTATCAGCATGACTAGCAGAGTTAGCCCTAGCAGACAGCATTGAAAGGTGGTACAGTTTCATTCATTCATAAACAACTAAGTTTGTTCTTCAATGTTTTTACCCAGGTTGACACAGGACCCATAAACTTGTGTTACATTAATAATTTAAAAGGAATATGCCAGTAAAATGCTGCACTCATTGCAGTACCCAGTACAGCATGTCCCACCATGCTGGGGGTGGTTCATGCTGAGTGTCTACATGTTCAAAAGACCTGTCACTACAAATAAGTTGATCAATAGAGAGTGCAGGTGAACACCCTCTTCTAAAACCCATCCCCTGTTAAAAAGGTGCCAAAAGTCAGAAGCAAAAGAAAAATTTCAGAAGCAAAAGAGCAATTTGAAAAGCAAGAATATGTCAGCAAGCATGTGGATTTTGCTTTATTTTATTTAAATCTTTTGGCACAAAATTAACTCCACAAGCTTGGTCATTAAAATGTGTAAAATTTCTTCTAACCACCATCCAAGATCCTGACTTAATTATGCTTGTGGTTCAAATGCATTCGACAGGGCAGTGGTCACTTAAACCAGGGTCAAATACACCTATAGAAGTAATCTATAGGATTAATTTTGTCAGATCTGTTGGATAAAATGTAATCTGTTAGTGTTGACTTGGTGAGGTCATGTAAGTTTGGTCATGCTGGTTGTAATTAGTTGCATTAGAGACAGATTTCCACACACTTCTTTCAAGTGATTGGATGCATTACTTAATCAGTTCAGATTAAAGAGCATTTCTGAGCTGATGTATGGACTTAAAAATTCAGCCAAATCATCTACAGTATGAGAGGGTGCGGAAGGAGGTCTTTGAATGATGAATTAAGAGTTTTTAATTAAATGATAGATTTGTAAATAGCCACACCACCACCCCTTGCTGTCTTATTTATTCTATATAGATTATAACCAGGTAGGACTACTTCTGAGTTAGACACAGATTTATTTAATCATGATTCAGTTAAAAAGTACAATATCTGGATCGGCTTGTGAAATCAAAATTTTTGGATTACCCTATGTATCAAGCTGAAGAAGGCTCCTATTGTTTAAATGAATTTCTGTGTTTGAAACTATTAGGATCTGTTAATAATTTTGTTGCAACCATAAGATTCAGGGTCAGTTTGGGGGTGACCAAGATGGCTTAACGCTGATAAGATTAGCTGGGTTAATTAAAAAGTGGTAATGATTACAGGGTACTCATTCTTAATTTCAGGTAGTCATTTCAGGTTAAGAACAGAGTACAACACAATGTGACTTAAAATCTGCATGCCAAGCCTGCTAGGCTGCTAGCCTGCTACCGTTCCTACAGAAGGATGGACAGTTCCAGAAAAGATTAAAATTGTTGTTAAAAAACAATTTATTCACTAGACAAGCTTCCTGAAGCCAACTGTGGAGGTTTAACAAGTGGCTGAAATGTCCCATGCCTCTTCCCAGGGAGCGGGACTGGGCCAGAGATAAAAATCCTTTTGCCACAGTTTTTGAGTGCGTCAAACAGTGTGCAAGGTCATTCTTCAAGAGTTCAGTTTTTTCGCCTTTAATATTGTTACAACCTACGTGAATGATCACATAGCATACATTTAAATGCTTGCGAGGAGGCAAGGAAGCTGCTGCGTAATGTCATTTTACCTTGGCACCTGAGAAGAAGTAGGTGGTTGTCAAGTTTCTGTTGAGGTATCTGAAGACAGACACCCCAACAATCAATGTGGTTGGTGGAGACTGCAGCATGTGCAGTGGGGTCCGGAGAGAAGGCTATGCAACATGGCCTGATGAGAAAGCCACACGCTGGGGCCCAAAGGCAGTGTCGGGCAAAGTCATGTGTCGACATCCAGCAGCACAATTCAGCAAGAAGCCATGTGCCAGTGTCCAACGGTATGATCTGGTGTGAACGCCATGCATTGGTGTCCAGCCACATGTTTGCGTCCAATGGAGGAGTCTGACGTGAATGCCGCACGTCGGCATTCAACGGCATGATCCAGCACAAATGCCGCATGTCAGCATCCAGCGGCACTGATCGGTGAAAAAGCTGTGTACCGGCATCGAGCACTGGGGTCTGGCGAGAAAGCCTCGCATCAGCATCCAGTGGCAGGGTCCATCAGGAAGGCCACGCTTTTGCGTCCAGTGGCGCAGACCAGCATGGATGCCATGTCAAGGAAGCCTGCTGTGGTGGTGAGCATGGGCGCCTCTAAGTAATTGTTGGAGAAAGACAATCAAACTCTATCCGGCCTGAACTCGGCAATCCTCTCCATGGAACTGCTGAAAGCTCAGGAGGTGAGAGGGAAGCAGGGGATCCATGCAAGCGGGCGTCCCCAGGCTCTTTCAAGGTGCAGAATCTGTTGCTCAGAGGGATATTTCGAGGCAGAGGGTGGTATGCCAAGCGCCTACCACCGTGCGAGTTCTCACAGGCCACACTCCACAGCTCTGTCTGGTAAGGTGTGGAGCAGCTCACCCCATTGGATCCTACACCCAGCCAAAGCCTGGGGTCCTCCAGCTGTGATGAGGCTGTGTCTACCCAGTTACTGAGGTCAGGGTCTGAGCTGTTGCTAGCATAGAATCTAGCAAGTTCTCATGCTCTTGGATTTGATGCAGAAGTGTAATTCTGCCCTACAATTCTGCTATCTTCTTGTATAGACAGGCACAGTCCAGATGGATGGCCAAGTTAGGCCATCCTGGCAAGTTCAGCCCAAGAACAGACTGCAAGATGCATAAAGACATTTCCAACAATCTTCCTACAAATGTCATCATTGGACCTCCAGGTAGCTCTTGCTACAGTTGATGTCAAAAAACATGCATCTACCCTCAGAAAGAGATTTTCATGGGAGATGTGCAAGAAGGAAACCTTTGCTGTAAAAAAGGGCAAGACTAAATTTCACAAAGAACACCTAGACAAAGACCAGGACTTCTGGAACAATGTGCTTTGGACAGATGAATCCAGTTGAAGTTGAATTATTTGGGAACAGTAACAGAAAACATGTTTGGTGCAAACCAAACACAGCATTTGTGCACAAGAACCTCACACCAACTATGAAGCATGAAGGTGGAAATGTTATGGTTTGGGGCAGCTTTGCTGCAGCAGGGGCTGGCAAGCTCTAGATCACGGAATCCACTATGAATTTTTTATTGTATCAGAAGGAGCTTCAGGAAAATGTGAGACCATCTGTCTAAAAAACTGAAGCAGAAGCAGAGGTCGACCATGCAACATGACAATGACCCAAAACATTCCAGTAAATCCACCAAGGAACAGCTCAAAAGAAAGAAATGAAGAGATCTGGAATGACAGTCAGGATCTTAATCCTATTGAGATGTTGTGGAGTGATTGAAACTGGCTGTGCATGCAAGACAGCCCTCAAACATCATGCAGCTGAAAGAACTGTGCATGGAAGAGTGGAAAAAAACTTTCTCTCAGTTGATGTCAGAGACTGGTAGACAGTTATAGGAAATGTCTAATTGAGGTTATTTCAGCCAAAGAGAGAAATGCCAGCTATTAGGGCAAAAGGTGTCCTAAGATCTTCCTCAGTAGGAATTTGCATCTTTTTCATTTTTTTGTTAAACAAATGATAAAGTCACATTTTATTGTTTTTTGCAAATGCAATTACATCACCCTTATCTATAAATATTATTTGACTGAAGATCAAATATTGATATGTCCATATTTCTTAATAAAGAACTAAATATTTAATGGGGTGTTTTTTTCACATGACTAAGTTATGTAGTTAAGAGAGGTTAAGGGGTTAAACAACTTGTGCCTCACTTTCTCATTCATATACAGCTATCACATTACAAATTCTCTTCTGTGAGAGAATGCTCCTCCCTGGGGCAGTCAATCTGCTACACTCTTTTTACAAAAACAGGCAAACATATACACATGCTCACAGCAGCCCTCTAACCTGGCACTTGATTCCTGCCTGGCTGCAGCCGCACTGGTGTGGGTCACAGTAGAAGCGGCAGTCACAGCCACATTCCTCACGCGACAGCCGGATGGCCCGTAGCTCCGTCTTCTCACGCGCATCAATGCGGGCAATGCCTGATGCTCGCAACAGTGCCCGCCGCCGCTTGGTAGGAAGAGGCTGCAGGAAAAAGCAGTCATCCACTTCGACACCTTCCACGTCCAGGTCATCGTCAGACACATCATCCAGGGTGAGCAGGTCTGCCTGGGCACACTCCACTGTCCCATTCCGTGTTAGCTGGGGAGACATATTAAACTCATGTTATGATAATTAGTAATTTAAAAAATTTAATTCTTTCCCCCAACCCTAAATATAGTTCATAAACTATAAACACAATTTTGAAAAAGTTGGAACAGTAAGTAAAATGCAAATAAAAACAGAAATTAATGATTTATAAATGTACTTTGACCCATATTTGAACAAAAACAGTACAAAGGCAAGATTAAATGCTTAATTTTTATCACCTTCATTGTTTTTTGTAAATGTACATTCATTGTGAAACTGATGCCTAAAACAGTCCAAAAAATGCGTGACAGAGGCAGTTTCCGACTAGAAACACTGTGAAACATCTTAAACAGGTGATGCAATCATGCTTGGATATAAAAGGAGCGTGATGGGGAGTCTTAGTCCTTTATGAGCAAAGACGGGTTAAGGCTCGCCACTTTGCTGTTAAAGCATCAGCAAAAATCTAACAGTTTAAAAACAATGTTTTTCAGCCTGGAATTGCAAAGATTTTAGGTATTTTACCCTACACAGGGCATAATATCATCAAAAAATTCAGAGAAGACACTAGTGAATAAGACCCATTGAACTTAAGCTTAATTTTTTTAAATACCTTTTTTCAAGGTGCCCTCTATTGGCACAGGGGCCAGAAAAGCAAATGCCATGTTGCAGCACCCATGGTGTTACTAAAGGGCACAACAGCAGTGGTCAGAGGAAAAGCAGGGACATTTGGCTACATGCTCGCCTGGTTGAGATCACAATCACCAGCCTTTAGCCTCTATTTTTGATCAACCTCTTAACATAGCCAGGACTTTTAAAGGTTTTATTACACACTTCTATAACTTTAGAATAATGGTTACTCATTTTTCTGTTCATATTTCTAAGGAGATTAGGTACAAGATAATCCACTTACCTAAGGTAGGATCAAGTCAAAGGAAAATGAGTGGGGAAAAAACAGGAGTTTCAAAAACTGGAGTTCAAAAAATTTGCAGCGTGAACCTGTGATTGGCTACTTTCACAGCTTAGTGGCCACAACAGGCGTAAAGAAGAAAAATATACAGTCAAGACAATGGCATTCACAGAAAGCGGCAGCCGCGAACCAGTGCTTAATGCTGACGATGCGTCTGAAAAACATACATTCGTGGCCTTCCACTAGGAGTGGAAAATCGGGAGAGTCGGGAGCACTCCCGGGGGGCCAGTAGTGCTTTGGGCCGGTTGCTGTGAGCCAATGAATTAACGGCATAATTAATGAATGGCACAAGAATGCTCAGACTGTAAATGTTACATCCAATACATTCTCTTTTCATAGTAGAGATTCCATCAATGTCCATCTCAAATTCCTGTAAAGGAAGTCAAACAGGTAAAGGTGTTCGGGTGCTCTAAACGAGTGCATTTTTGTGGATGATGCCTGCTGTTCTAGTATAAACCAATATGTACGCTCAGTCTGATGATGTGTACCTCTAACCCTCAATAAAAGATATGTTTGTTTACAATTAAATTAGAAATGATTTTTAAAGAAATACTTTAACTTTTACATAAGTACATTTATGAGCATGTACTTTTACATTTCTACTTGAGTAAAAAAATCTAAGTCATACTTTAACTTTTACCTGAGCAATGGTTTTTTGCTAGACTACTAGTACTTTTTCTTAAGTAAGGGATTTTTATGTTCTTCTGCCACCTCTGGTCAAGATGCCATTACTGAGAAAAGAAATTAGACAAAAAAGAATAAAAAATGCAAATCAAACAAAGAAGCTTCTAGCGTTCTCAGAATTAGCCAGCCCAGAGCCCAGACCTCACCATCATTGCTTGTGTTTGGGACTACTTTGGTCGTGAGAAGCAGAAAATACAACCAACTTGTAAGACTGAACTTTGGAGGTCCTTGCAGATTTCTCTGAAAAACTAAAAGCAAGTCTCTCAAAAAAATGGAAGTTGTAGTGAAAGCAAAGGGTGGACACACCAAATACTGAAAACTTTGACATTATATTTAGCTGTTGAGGCTTCTGTGTAATTGTATGTTGGGTGGTCTCTGACTTTTGCAGAGTACTGTACTTCCTGATAAGTGTTTAAAAAACTTGAGGTCAGGAAAAGTTCCTCAATGTGAAATTCAGCATAGCACATTTGCAATGACAGTAGATAAAGCCATAAATAGTGTGCCTAAAATGTCCTTATTCATGGTAAAAGCAAGGCAATACACAGCATTGAGTGGCTAATCATTTCTTAACCTTTAAACGGCCAGGGTCCACCAGTTGGCCCAAAGTTTTATTAGACACTTCTATAACCTAAAATAGCTCAGCCAGTTTGCATTGTATGTATGTGATGTATGTAATAAGCCTATGATTTTAAGGGATTAAAATGGGGACATCATACAGTATGACAAAACACACTGGTTTGTTAACTCTAGCTTATGGTTGCCAAGCAACATAACAATCAAAGATTATTCCACATATATTTGGCACATTAATAAATAATTCAACTTTGAATATGGCTCTGCCAATCAGATTTAAAAACTCAAACCGTTCATTTTCTAATATGAATTCTTCACCTTCAGCTTGCGAGCATTCAGCTTCTCCTGGCGCAAGTGCTGGCGAAGAATGTGCCGGTGGCTGCTCTCCTGCTCTCGGGCAAACTCCCCTAGGGTGTAGTGGCGTATGGCACAGTGATGCCTTGCCATGCCCAGTGAGCTGCCACCCTGGCTTGGCACACTGGTGAAGCCTTGCCTTCTGGAGAAGTAGTAGACCGTCACTGCGTCAAAGCGGACCTGCTTACGGCCCAAAGAGGTTTTATGTCGTCTAAGAATGGAGGTGGCTGAGGAAGAAAATTGGAGAGAAGTGGTTAATGGTGGTGTCCATCTCTCTCAGGACACAGTGTGTGGTATTTGCGTCCTATGGCCTGGTTATCATTCTCGTGAGGGGAAAAAATTAGGCAGTGGCAGCAAAATTTCTATGCATACTTTATGTTCTGATGATACTGATCCTGTGTTATTGGTGTTTTTTTTAATCTATGCACCACCCAATGTATTCTTTTATAGCAACTGGAAAGGCTGGAAAGATTTTACAGAAAGTTGACAAAAATCCCAATCGACCTAATGAGAAACTGTAGTGCATAACTTTGTTTTTGTCAAAATAAGAAAATATTTTTTGATTTAAAATATTTATTCTGTTTACATGGGAAAGGTCGCACTGTTAGATCGAGTGTAATTTGTTTGTAATGTAATTCAGCTAACATTAGCATGCATTCAAATATGGCCTAGTTTATATTCCAGCTCAGTAGTGTAGCATTTTAAACTGGAAACTCAACATTAAGTGGCAATTCCAAACTCTAACCAAAATGATTTTTGCTCACTTTTCCAACCACAGTTTCAAAGAAAATAACCACAGTTGCTATTAAAAATATATTTGTGAGATGAGCATACATAGGTAAACTGTCACTCTGTGAGGGCAATAAAGTTACTGTCCAGTCTCATATAACATATCTAAGAGACAGAAGAACATAAGTCTAATGATAAAAATGTAGTTTGAGAACTTCGATCAAGAATACCACCTCATTTAATTTCACTTAACTAAGCCAATGTCATGAGAAGTTCCTGATGCCAATTTGCCATGATTTTAATTATAAGCTCATTCAACACTTAGTAATTCTATTACATTGAAAATTAACCCTTGGTGGCCCCTTACGTGTGAGGGAGCTGGAGGGGGCGTTGAGACTGTCACAGCTATCTGCACTGTCGCTGCTGGAGATGTCATCGTCGGAGTCTTTGGGCGTGGAACACGGCGAGCCGCTGTCCACTTCCTCAAATCTGCGTTTCAGGCTGAGAGCTGACACTGTCTCCATGGAAACACGATGTTCTGAAGACATGAGGTACACGCTTAGTTCAGCCAACTTGAATGGCAGATGTGGTCAAGATGAGACACTTAACAGTCAAAAGTCAAGCACCAGCAGTCAAAGCACAGAGTGAGATAAACTGACCAAAAACTAGACTGTGCAAAATTGTTAAAAAAGGCTGCAACAACCAAATATATCAGGGTTGTGTGACAGACTATAATAATTACAATTATAGTACAATAAATACAATAAAAATCATACCAGTAACAGCTTGGCATTAGGCATTAACGTAGGACAAACATAACAAAGCACTAGCTTTTTGCCACTGGTAACACATGAGCCATTGCACTAAAGACTTTCATCAAATTTACCCAAAAAAGAAATATAACATCTTATATAAAACCAGTCATCATGTTGGCATATCCCTAATTGTACTTGTATTTCAACATTTTGACGTGACATGATACAAAAAAACACAAAAGTGAACATGTGGCTTGGTAAAAGTAAGCATTCAGATACATTTTTCAGACCACACAAATACCTGTGGTTTATCACTCACAGCAGACTCTGGACCAATGAAAACGTTAATGGAAATTTCACTGATTTGATAAAGAGCTCAATTTCAGAGCAGAGCTGTTTTAAATAGGAACAAGACATACTTTGATGTAATAAATATACCCTTATATATGGAATGCATTATATTATAGCCTTTTGTGAGATGATACTGCAGAAGCCACTATGGCAATAACAACTAACCGGAAACACATTGTGAAATCCTATAAGAAAGTGTTTTAGTCAGCAGGTTGAATTTGAGTCAGATATGGATTTGACTCCATGAAGTATTTTAAAGTTTCTTCGGAGAGACAACTTCAGGCTAAATACCAAAAACTGGAAATGGCTACATTAAAGGTGAGCAGGACACAACTGATAAACTATTAACTCTCTCTCAAATAAAGCTGAACGTTTCCTTAGAAAAAAAGCTGATGACTGAAGAAAACATTCCACCAAGCAGGAGATTAGTTTAAATGTAATGTGAATATTTAAAAATAGCCTTGAACACTTAATTTATGTTTTACCCAATAATGAAACCCCTCACCAGTTCTTGCGAATGAACTCATTCAATCGAAACACATATAAATACATATATTTTTTCACATAAAGCATGCCACACAGCGAGGCTAGAATCTGGTTAACTATGAGAGCAAGTGAGGAAGCTGAAAATAGTATCCATGATGATGAAAGGAAGAAAACAATTACAACCCTCATGAACAAAAACAAAAATATAAAATTCCACAGTTTCACAAAAAGTGATATCCTCCTCTGTCTCCTCATGTTTTGCATGTATGCTCTCTGTTTCCTCTTCTCTAGTATGACAAACCCTCTCAGAAATCATCAATTCTGAAAACATCGCCATGGCAACGGAAAAGGCGCAGTTTACAGAAATGGCCTAGGGACAACTGTCCTCTCCTCTTCGGTTTCTTTTTGCCTCCACCTCTCTCCACTAAAACCAGCATAACCTTTTAAACAACAAGTCTGTGCAGACTAGAAGGGGGTCAAGCAAGGCCATTTGATCAGGCCGCCTCCTTCATCTGAGGGAACTGTGGGAGTCCCATAGCAGCTTTGAGCTGCTCCATGCCTGATTTTCTTCATGATTAAGCACTGGTTCTTCACCAGTCACTGGCTTTCACTGAAGGACAAAAAGTCTAGCGGTGGTACAGGAAAAGGCCAAGAATCTCCAGCAAAAGAAAGTTTGTTTTCTTTGAAAGGCAAAATATAGGCTAGGGATTGGATGAATAAATGGGTGGCTTTGTAGTAAATATTTGAATAAACTTTTATGAATTAATGAATGCCTCAAAAATTAGATTAGTACACTGAAATCTCATCAAAACCACTCCACCATATGCTATCATCAAAACAGCATTAGCTCAAAAAACACTTAAGCAAACTAGTGTACATAATCATGTGTCCATTCATTCTCTCAAAAGCTAGAGCAAACAGTGACAGCTGATCATGCCAACAGCTAGTAAAGGACATCAAAGAGAAAGACTTTGAAACTTCAAACCGTCTTGCCAGATGCATCAGTAACATTCAGCATAAAATAATCAGAACGGAAGGAGTAATGTAAGCCATATCAAGTAGGGCTGTCTGATTCAGTGCACTAGCTCAGCACAATGCCTCAAAGAGACAGGGTGCACTACCTTTAAATGAACTGCAACCATAGAAACAAGAGATGCCCAGAACAAGATGTATCTGTACATTGTCTGTTCCATTTCACATTTTCTTTTTTATTGCAATCATTCTTAAAGTGATAAAAGAGAATGGTGGCATTTAAGAATCACATAAAAGCCTTTATTATATTACATTTTTATTACATTGTACTGCCCACATATCAGCTACCACATAATGCACTTGGTCTTGTTTCATTGATAGCTTTTAAACCTTTCATGCTAGATCTAGAGCACATAAACAAGCTTACTGTACAATTCTGCACAGTCATCTACACTAACAGTCACTTTTAAGATGCTTTATGATGACAGATTACAATGTTGTAAATATAAGTACGCCTGCCTGAGCGGCATAATTATAGGCAATAGAACCAAACTGTTCAAGTTTTGAGTTGTGGCTATTAAGGGAAATGTAAAGACTGTCTGAGACCACTACTAATTTTTAAATCAGTAACCTACAGCTTTACTCATCTGAGGACTATTAAGTAGAACAAATGTACTACTAGACAAATGGAATGACAAAGCCTTTATGAATTTATGAAAATCAAAAATAAATGACCAGCTGCTTAGGGTGGCAAAAGTGATTGTGCTGTTGCTACTAAATGACTCACTCATTAATCTTGATTTGTCATGTTATGACCTCTGCACCTGTGAGGCTCAAAGCTCATGTACGCTCACAACCCTATTCTACTAATGCTCCACATAATAGCGCTGACATATTGCAACAGCTAATATTCTGAAGTGCAACACAGTGGCTGATCTAGGGGCAATGGGACACTGACGCCGCAGTATGGATCACAGGAGCCTCCTCAGTATACTCAGTGTAGATGGTCACGTAACAATACTGTCACCACACATGCCTATATAGGTTTCTCAGAGGAAAAAGTAATCCTGCACATATGATCATGCACAGAAGTGGCACAATTTACAAGGCAAATATTAGCGCAGTCTGGCAGAGAAGCAGGGGATAGATCAAAGGCATATTATTATATCTTTGCCTTTGCTTACCCAATTTTTCAGAACATCTACATCTATAGAAACACTGGCGCAAGAATAAATGGACCCTAAAAGCTGTATTAAAGGTAAACGTTCCGGGCATTTGAGACGGAGACGGAGTAATATGCTTACAGTCTCAGACACACACACCCCATGGCCTATTTTGGGGTGCCCCGCGTGAGGGGTAATCATGGTGTTACAAAAAAATCGCAATACTGATGAGTCTGTTCAATTCGTCTGCTCCAGTCACTGAAGTAGCCTACACTGAACAAATAACAAGAACACGTCACGTTTTCTTCTCAGCTGGCAAAGTCTTGTATTGGTGACGTAGCAATTTTATCAAAATCCAACTACAATGTCCAATCAGGAGCTTTATGTGGACTTCTGCCTATGCAAACCAGCAGCTGAGAACTGAACAGGGTTCAACATGGTGGCAAGTAGACAAGAACACATATACAACGGCTGAGAGGGACAGCTGTCAACACACATGAAACGAAATTTATTTCCAGTTAAAAGCATTTTGTGTTGGAGGCGGACATGCATATGAATGCTTATCCATACGCTCTATGACAAGGCAAATCCTGCTTGGCTGTGCAGAGCAGCCAGTGTCTTCACTATAATTTCCGTGCTTCTTTTCATAGGGTAAGCTACAAGGGAAGCCAGGCTAGGTTGAAACACAAAACCTATTCAGAGTCTTACCTTGGATGGAAACAGAGACCCTTTAGCCAGCGAAGCCGTCGTTCGATCCTTGCTGTTTGTTTGCGATATTCCTTACTTTTTGGAATATTAGCCTTATTTTATTGGGGACCACAAGGTTATCAGATGAGAGACAAAGACGACTTTAGTCCATAGAAAATGGTTTCATCAATGAGGAAACGCCAGTTCGCGGTGCTTATTATTACCTTCCTTTCTCAAAACATTTAGGCATCTTATGATATAATAAATAGGTTATGACGCAGGCTTATGTGCTATTTAAGTCCGATTTCAGACTCTTACTTTGTGCACCAAGTACGTGAAGCTACCGATTCAATGTTTCAGGCAATTGCTTCAAAGATTAAACAAATTGATACAGAAAGGCTATCAACGACCTCATTCATTTAACTGAGAAACTCATGACATTTACCCTGGAACATGCAACCAACAAGATGATGAAGCAGACTTCAGCAGCCAATTTGTCTTGACTATATCCATAAAAAGAGCAAACCGAGGGCAGCGTTAGAGTCCTTTTTTTCTTTAAAGGGTGTTGTAAGCACAGTCGTCCTCAATAATTAAACGAAACGCTAATATATTTAGGCTGTTAGACCGTTTTAAAAAGCAAATGTGTGTAGTTTTTGTCGACCACAGACCCGGCTGGGCCTCGCTATGCCCCGGTTTGTTACGATGTAACAATAGAGTAAGGAATGCCACACACTACCCATATATACTTCATTGTGACATCACGGATACGCTCCAGTGGCGACAGCTGGGAAATGTAGTCCATGCTCGCCCTTTGTTAACGGCAGAGAAAAACCAGGCGTTTAGCTTTTTTCACTAAAGCAGATAATTGCGGCTCAGAGTGAATGTCGTAAATTGAACTCGAATAAAATATATAAGCCATTCAGCTTCACGAGAAACCATAGATGTGTCTCAAAAAATCAGAGCAGCCCTCTTCAGTATTCCAGTGCTCTTGTATCCTGTATTGACAGCTAAGTCTCCATGGAAACAGAGAGCAGGGTCATGGGTTTGACTGGAGCGCTACCGTAAAAATGTACATTACAGTTTGTCGAAAGTCTTGGTGCATTTTGTTTAAACTATAAGAATGTTGCTGGTGAAAGCATGTAAATGTTGATTAATTAGTTTCGCTGCAATTAGTTTATTGCAGCGAAATTAGTTTATTGCAGGATTTTTGCCACCTTTTATGATTTATGGAATGCTTATATGTTTGACACTGTAACAACAGTACACAAGCTAATTGTGATAGTACTTATCGGAGGGAAAAAAATCCTGAAAATAGTCATGTCACGTGACACCCCCGAACTTCATTTCTGCAGTCATCTCCAGTTTCGCCTAAAGCACGTCGGCTCAAAGCTGGACGTTTGATTAGACCTGCTAGAAAGTTACCCCTCACCCATGCAGTGAAAGAACAAACATATTTCATACTATATATTACTTATTACATTTTTAGTTTCCTTTAAAAGTTGTATTTTTGGAGATTTTTATAACATTTTAACAACTTAATTTTAAGTCTGCCTTAACTTCTTTTTTTACCCTTTTGGTCCTTGGTACACCTTGGCACTTTGGCCACCCGAATTTGGGCAAGTCTGTAAGAGGACTGAAATGGCTGTTTTTTGTGTAGATTGGGATCATTGACTGGAAGGAAGGAAAATATGTGAGTCCTTCACAGATTAATACCATCTTTGGTCATTTTAATTTTGTAGTTATTGCCATGTACTTAGACATTTTCAGGAGTGTGGCTGTTTTTATAGTCAAAGCCTGAACCTCAACAATTTGTGAACAGACCTGTGTGTTACATCATATCTAGCCCAGTGTAAGGGGAAGCCATAGACAACTACTTCTGAATAAACAAAATATTAAAATATAAAATTACTACAAATTATTATTACGTTGCATTTCGTTGTCCTGCCTGACCAGGAATTCACTAGGTCCTTGTTATTATAAAACAACCAGGAACATCACTCCAACTGCCCAGTTGCCCAAGTGTGAAAGTTGTGTTGGTTGCAAGTGAAATTTCAAGCACAACAATGATCCAATAAACAACACAAAGCTAACAAAATGCCTGCATAAACGTCTTGCATTTGGCATCTCAGACCCCAGACTTAAGCATGACCTGTCATCTGAACTGAAGCAAGGAATTCATAAACACAGATCTTTGGGAGTCCAAAACGTGCAATGATTCACATTAAACAGAAAATATAAGTGTGTATTTTAAAATTGTGATTTGTTTAAAATGTGTTCTGAAAAACTACCATAAATGCATACATTTTGCCTATAAATTTAAGCAAATCATGTAGCTTGCCATCTGTGATGCTTACTATTACCTTTACTATTTGCCTTCTTGATAAATCGGCAATAATTAGTTTGCAGTTTGCATGAGGATAATGTATGTTTTAAATTCTCATGCAAGTCTCTCTTACAATAAAAATCAAAGCCTAAAAACATTCGAAAAGCAATGTATGGTTTGTTATTGTTCAGTTAGGTCCATTTCTATTGTGTGGACTTCTTGTAAAACTCTGATTAATCACTCACACACACACACACACAAACACTTTCTAAACCGCTTATCCTTTTGGGTCGCGGGGGGAGCTGGAGCCTATCCCAGCAGTCACTGGGCGGAAGGCAGGATACACCCTGGACAGGTCACCAATCCATCGCAGGGCAGACAGACAGACAGACTTATACATCTACACACACAATCACACCTAAAGGCCCTTCTTGCCGTGAGGCGACAGCGCTATCTGATTAATCAATTAATCCTAAAAATAAATAGATAAATGACTCAATCCAAGCTAATCCATATCAACATCTTGACTTCTAGCCAATTTCTAGATAAATTAGCACTAAAATCTACTAAAAAGGAGAAAATGTCCCGAGCAGTCTGTAAAAGCAAGACTGACAGACAGGAAACTATGTTTAATGGGTAAGCCGTTTTAATTGTTGCAATGGCATAGGAAAGGGGGAAAAGACAGACAGTCACTGAGAGGCCTCAGTGACTTTTCCATCTCAGTCTTGTTTACATTTAGCATTGTTAACCATCTCTAACTTCACAAGCAGTTAAAGCATATGTTTTTCACCCCAAATGGATTTGTATTGCAGTGGTCACAACCAAAAAAAAAAAAAATGTGAATGACCCACATAAAATGGGTGGATTATAGACTTACATAAAACATGATTTTTTTTTAACAAATAAACATAAGATGTTCTCCCCCTAAAAAGCTAAAAGATACGTTTGCAAATGTAGAAAGTGTTCTAAAGCAAGAGCTTCTGACAGTGATGAGTGTAACAGGAGAAAAAAAACAACCAAATGAAAAGCTGAATAATGCCTGGTGGTGCCAACTGAGCCCACTGTCTGAATAGTATGATAAAACATTAACAATAAAATGTAGTGTGCATTTTCCACTATGCATTAGCCACTGAATTCTTAGCCACTTGATCTGTAAAATAAATACAGTTTTTCCCTTAAAAACATTGGTTAATAAATGAGGTACATGTCAGTAACTCAATTACATAGAGCAGAGCTGCACATCTTGCTTTTGGACTGGCAAGCCAAGGGAAGATGTTAAAATAATTCAATCAGACTGATGACAGCATATCAAGCTTAACATGCTCTTTGAATAAGCTAACAGACTCAGAATTCAGATTATATAATTACACAGAACCAAATTATAATGTATGGGACAATAGTACATGAGAACAATGAATCTCGGACACTACAAAACCAAGAAACTGATCTGTACAACTGCTTTTCATACTAGACTTCCAGTATTAACCTCCTAATCATTGTCAGTCATCAGGTTTACTGTAATCTGACAAAGTTGCAAGAACGCTGAACAATTTCAAAGGCGCATCATTTTAGGAGCCTGTACAGGTCTTCCCATGATGAACCCTGAGGCTACACTTCCTTTAGATACGTGAAGATCCTTATCTTTGTTCGCACTTCCTTTCGTCTACAGGGGCTTTCACAGTGTGTGAAGGAGCTCTGGTTAATACTTCTGTTGAAGGGCGTGGAAAGGAAGGTTGTGGTAAGATGCATGAGGACCACGTCAGATAGTATTTTCTAATGCTAGTTCCACGACAACCAATTCAGTCGTTTTCAGGCAACAGATTTTGGCACACCGAAGGTTTCAGCTATTACATGAACATCAAAGAAGACACTTTTCATAAGGAAAAATAAATGACTAAGCACCTTTTGCAGAAGGGGGAGGACAGTACTGGCAGTACAGATACTCTGTAGAGAGTAAGACAGGAAGGTTTCAGAAGGGGCCAGACACTTCTCCCCTTTCCCACGGTGGCCTCTATGCTCTTTCCAAGTAAAACAATCGTAAGCGTGGTCCAGGAAGAGTGGAAGGCAGGGAGCTGTGGGTGGGCGTACTGACGGGAGGTTTAATCTGATGGGAAACAGGGGCTGACTCTCTCCCCATTTTGCTTTTTCACTTCAGGATGATGTGATATCCATCACTTGTCTCAGCTGAAAATACAGGAACAGGTTAGTTACTGAGCAAGTCGGTGAAAATAAACAGTTAAATTAAAGAAATACTAGGACTAGGTATTGAAATTTAATACTAACATTGCATTGTCAAATTACTTAAAAACTGCCAAGTATGAAAGAAATATCACATTTCAATAATCAGTCAGTCGTGTTAGCATAAGTGGGCAAATAAGCATGCTTGTTCTAAAATCTAGACTGGTGCTTGGCTGATGAGAAATGTTATTAACATCAGCAGTCTGTTGAACAAATACAAAAACAAATGCAAACAGCAGCAGTGTCTCTGAAGGCCTCCACAGCCTTCAAAATCCAACACAGCTAGGAACCACTTTGTGACTGGGAATATTGGAATAGATTTTTTTGTACAAATTTGTACAAATATAGTATGCCACAAAATGTCCTTTTGTTAAACTTTTTATATATATATATATATATATATATATATATATATATATATATATATATATATATATATATATATATATATATATATATATTTTATAGAGGAAAAATGGTATGTAAAAATATCATATAGGAATAGCAAAGTCAAGGCACCAGTTTTAGTAGCAAAATGAAAACATACTGAAAAACAACCAGCCCTAATCTCTGTCTCCCACATCTCTAGAACATTAAAGATTACCATGGACAATAATTTCAACTGTACTTAGTAAAAGAACAGAAAACTCATTGACACAAAACACTTAAAAATAAAAGCCAATCAGCAGATGCTGAACCTTTGGCTCATGTTATAAGAGTGTTTCAAGTCAATGTGTTCTCTACTCTTTTACTACACAAATGATTGTCTGTGATAGGCAACTGTATGCTACAGATGTAGCAGAAAGAGATAATACAGAAAAAACACTTAAGTATTCTTTTAAAAGAGGCACAGAGTAAATTTAGTACCTTTCATTGTGTCCAAGACAAAACACACCTCATCCTGAAAGTTCTGAATCATCTGTGGGAAAGAAAATGAAAATAAGGTCAAACTTGAGAGGCGTTAGGACTTGTTTCTCTGTGTGACAAGTTCAGTATTACACAATGACATTTTCAATTAAAAAAAAAAAAAAGTAAAAGAGAACCACTGTACAGCCTACTTTGAGGACACAAAAGGGTGATACTATGATTAGGTGCAATTTAGTCATTGTAATTTAACCTTTATTCATTCATTCATTCAACATTTTTGACACTTTAAATCCATATATGGGATAATATGGTTGAACTAGTACAATATAATCGAAAAAAAGAAAGAGAAAAGAAAGCGTATTTTTCTGCTTTTTTTTCTGTCCCTTAGCATTTACTGAATACTGTTACCTGAACACATTCAGCCCTGAGGAATATTGCACAAGTCACATGTCTAACCGGACTTTGCATTATCTGAATTTCCTGACGGTCATGGGAAGCAGAAAAATGAGCTTTCCTTTCTCTTTCTTTTTTTCCAATTATATTGTACTAGTCACTTTAAAAGTTCAAACATATTATCCCAGTTATGGATTGAGAGTGTCAAAAATGTTAAATGAATGCATGAATGAATAAATGTATATAAAACTCATCTCATCTCATCAGATGACTGATAAGATGAGATGTTAAATGGATTTGCACATTAACACAAAAATAATAAGATGTTTGAAGTATTTTAATGATTATATTTCAGGGTAAAATGTAGTCATGGTGGGCTGGGACAGTGCTTTAAATTAGTTTAAGTTATTAATGTTTTATGTTATTCATCTGAAACATATACAAAGGTTTTGTGAAGGACAATTTATATGTTAGAGTATGTACTTTATTAATCATACAAACGAAATTTTTCATTTTGCTCCCTAACTATGCCTAGTCTGGGAGTAGCACAGCATCACCAGCAGATGTATAATGTATGTATAAAATGGCTTTTATATTTACTTTATATTTGTAATATAATTTAACATGTATGGGACACAAATGGCTCCGGTTTCCTCCCACAGTCCAAAGACATGTAGTCAGGCCAAATGGACATGCTAAATTGCCCCTAGTTGTGAGTGTGAATGTGTGTGTGTGAATGTATATGTCTGTGTGTCTGCTCTGCGATGGACTGGCGACCTGTCCAGGGTGTTTCCTGTCTTTCGCCCAACGACTGCTGGGATAGACTAGAGCTCCCCCCGCGACCCAGAAGAATAAGCAACTTAGAAAATGTGTGTGTGTGGGACACGAATGGATGCCCATTCATGAAATCACCTATAACTTTACAATTACTTAAACAGAATGTTAAGATATAATTAGGAGAATCTATTAGACTGAGTAAAAAAAAAAGCCCTGTGAGACATCACCTCATCGCTGACCAGCACATGAATGCCTGTAGGTCCTTGTTTGAAAATCTGACTGATCTGGCGTGGAGAGATGTTGAAAAGCTGGGCTATCTTCTCTGTCAGTTCAACAGCCGTTAGCTCCTCCAGGTAAATAGCATGGTAAACTGCAAAGGTTAAATATGGACAGGAGAAAAAAAAACTAGTGTTCATACTGCTACTGTCTGGAGATGGTTAAGAATTGGTGACAAATAAGCAAATTAACCCTCAGCATCTTCCACACACAAACACACACCAAAAAAGGTGTTGCTGGTGCCGTCTCCATTCTCGTGTTTGTGTTGCTGTTCCCTGGCATGCTGGGACTCCTGGCACACATAGATAGTGAGTCTTGGGCGAACCACCCTGAACATGCACAAACACAGAAATTACCATCAGTGAGGGCTGACTAATTCAAATCTATGTAAGCACATATGCCTATGCCCATCAGTATGGCTAAAGTGACTACACTGCATATGACCATGTGCGTGCATACTGTGTGCAACACCACACAATGTAATTGGTAGAATGGTTTTACCCATTTATAAGTTATATCTAATAACAGCACCTTCCCCCCCCCCCATATATAATTTCCCTTACCACCAACTGCTAGTAACATTAATAATCAAATTACTCTAAGCTGCTAGAACTACTTTTTTGGTGGAAAAAATGTCCAGTGTATGAACATATATTTGAAACAATATTTGGGCTTGTTTGCTTTACATTTTTTTTTTTTCATTTTGCAAAGCTGTTGTCAAGTGTCCATTACATAGGTGTCAGTATCCCCTATATTCACAGTCTTCAAACTCTATTCACACTGATACCCATATATATCACATTTCTACCATTAAATCAGAATCTTGTTTTGATCTTTGCTGTTATCCCATACTAACCTATTTTATCCAGAATCAGAATTTATTTTTACTTTATTTTACATTTAAACAGCTTAACACTTTCTCTTGCATGGTCAAATACACATATATAGGTATATAGGTAAACTGCCTGGGTTGATGCCTACGCAAATAACATTGTGTCTGTGATGATTTACGGCTACGTTCGCATTACCAGGTTGAAGTGGCACAAATCCGATTTTTCACTAATGTGACTCAGATCTGATGTTTTCAGGGCTGTGTGGACATGCAAATCTGATCTTTTCAAATCCGACCTGAGTCACTTTCATATGTGGTCCTAGATCGGATACCTACTCGATATGTGGCCATGCAACCTTAATGAGAACGCTCGGATTAGAATTCATGTGCTTTTTTTCTACTGCGCATGCGCCATCAATCAGAGTTACCATGGCAGCTTTAACAGAATTTACAGCCTGTAAACGGTGGAAAAGCAACATATCTTACCTTTTTCGCCTTCTTCTCGCAGTAATAATGAACAGCTGAGAACTATCAGAGTTAATTATCTTCGCAGCAAAGGCTTGTTCTGACAATTAGTTTGTTTGCTGATGATGCACATGACGCACATGATTCATTCACTTGATGTTACTGAGTAGGATGTGCGCACGCGGGTCATTTCAGGACGCTGGTTTGTTCACATTAATGACAGATTTGAATCACTTACCTAAATGAGCATGAACCATCGTGTCAGAGAGATTGGATTCAAGCAAAAAATCTGATTTGAGCATTGAGGCTTGTAATGTGAACGTAGCATATGTGTCATGGTAATATTATTTGTGATAGCACACTCCCTCTCATGCTGTTTTGCTTAAATATAACTTACACTTTCTATCTTGCCAACACACATGTTGTACACATTTGTGCACTGTGAAGACTGATCCCTACCTTCCTTTCAGTGCGTTGAAAAGTCGTATACCATCGGCCGGGCCACAAATCTGAATGACGTCCTCCCTTGTCAGCTTCAGCAGGTCTGCCCCTGATGACCATCCCAACAAAAAATTAACAAGCAATAAAAGTCAAAACATTTTCCCCAGGAACTGACACATGACAACATTACATATTCCAACCAACAAAAAAAATCAGTAGCCTGCAATTCAATGGAAACAGACACAGTTTGGATCTACAAGCATGTAACATTTGTCTAACTTTGACTCCACAGAGTTTAGGTAAGGTGCTGTATGGTTGCTGAGTGACATAAGCACAGATAAAAGAGCTGTATGGCATGTAACGCACACAGAACATCCCATTACCCGAGAAGTTTGTGAAGAGACGGCAGAATGGCGAAAAACGGTTTCTATGGAGCCACTGCTGCGATTCCTGTGGCGTTGCCGTGGGCAACAGGTTCTGTTTGTTCAGAGTAGAGAAAAAGGACACAGGTAGGCCTTAGAGTGAGTATCATAAAGTCATTAGGACTTTCTTTTTTCTTTTTCCACTGAACAGTCCCTCCACTTTCAGAAAGACAAACAGTTCAAAGACTCAGTGTAGACCAACACCCACTTCAAAACATTTAACAAGAAGGAAGATTCCATCTCACTGACTTTTCCTGACTGACCACTACTGAAGTTTGTTTTAAGGCCGGTCTTCTTCCACTTCCACTGTGATGCTCTATGCAAACCACCAGGTTCTGTTTAAGAGTAACTTTCAAAACAGCAATAAATTCACAGTTAGCTCACTGTGTCTAAACAGATGGCATGATGTGAGAAGGCTAAAAATCTATGCGATTATTTCATGTTGAATATATACTAAATAATGAATTATAAATGGAAGAAAGTATGTTTGGTTGGTAGCGTTTACTGTATATTTGATACACCACAATGATTAACTAAAATGAGGTTAGGCTGAGAGTAAAATAGCCGAAAGCTTATGTTATGATTACAGATCAACACAGCAGCATTAATTCAGAGGAAAATGTTCCATTCTAAACTGGCTAAGCCTATTTAATGGTAATAATAAAATTATGGAATATGCCCTAGTTTGAGATTTAGTTTGTATCACATCATTGGCTAATAACTACTTTACTATTTTAATTACTACTGCATTTAAAACAGGGGCACAAAACATAATTCAAAAGACATTCTTTCAATACAACAAAGCTCCCACAAATAGCACTCTTGTGCCTTAGTGCCAAGATACAACTAGTAAAGAGGTCTAAATTTCAATTACATTTATTTCACAAAATAGTATATTTTAAGTTTTTAGGACAAGATGGCCGAGTATGGACATGCAGGCTATATAAATATAAGAAAATCAGCTGGATATGACCCACAGGATGAGACTGCTGACTGAAGGGTGACTGAAGGTGAAGCCTAAGCACCTGTTAATAAATGTTATTATAGCAGCATAACAAAAGTACATTTATGTGGAAAAAGAGCATTTATGTGCATACACAGCATTTCCTGTTTGTACAAGTATGCAAACGACACAAAATAAAGTCCAAGTATGATGTAACAGTATGATACACAGTTGTATAACACTTCTAGGTGCCCCTGGTCAAAATACATGTTTAGAAAATAAGAGAACACATCCCCTACAGAGAACACACTTCTTCACATATTCACGCACAATTCATGTTTATTTGCTAAATTTAACATACTGAAGAAAAATTCAATATAAAATGTTGTCTGTACAAAGGCTATGGCACATTTTATATTTTATATTTTCCCAATATGTTAAACTCTGCAAATAAATAGAAACTGTGTACTCACATTTGCAGAAAAATGTCTTATTTCTGTTTGTTTTCTGTAGTAATTTCACCAGGTACTGTGTGCCAGTTTATAGGATGTAGTCATTAACCAAATTCCAAACTACTCCTTATACATAAAGCCATACTATAATTTACAGTCAGCACAAATACTTAAAGAGAAGAGAAGAAAAAAGAAGAACTCACATCTGCTACCTGTGCCACTGGCTCTGGCTGGTGATTTGGTGATCCATTCCTAGAAAGAAGTGAACTAGATTAGGTGACATGAAGGTTACCATGAAGAAAAAATCTATAAAGAAAATAAACAAAGAAGGCTCTTAGAGGATGCGGCCTGTTAAATAATTAATAATAAGGCGCCAAAACATTTTGTCTTACGGGGGTCAAAATGTAATGTTTGTGGTGTACCGAGGGCCAAAAACACAAAAGAGTACACAAATAAGGACGGTAGGTGTATTGTTAATCAAAACAGATTTTTCAAAATGTAATTTGTACATTATGCTATATGAGTCAATACCAAAAGTACATTACAATCTAAAAAGAAAAATGAACATTTAAGTACAAGAAGTATGCAATATGTTTTTGATGAAGAGGAAGGAAATTGGGACAGACAGAGGGCCAAATCAATTGTGCTTACAGACTGACTTTAACCCATAGGCCCCACTTTGGGCAGCCCTGGTTTAAGACATTATAAATTAACTTTTATTACTTATGGTAGGTCTGTCAAAGATTGGAACAACACAGTAGTAAAACTCAACAGTGTTTCTTACCCTTCAGCAACAGGGAAGCTGTTATGGGTGCTGCCGAAGCCTGGTGATGGAGAGTTATTCACATAAGTAACCTCAGGCCAAGGTGAGCACTGTAGGAGGAAAACATGATATTCAACAATCCATACAGAAGTCAAAAATGTTGTACACTGAGGATGTCAGAGGATGTGCACCTACAAGGAATAAAATGCAAGAAAATTTTAATTTCCCAAGAGATCATAAAATACAACTCACTGATTTATTAGGACACATTTTCCATGTACAAACCTCAGTAAGAATGGTAGTTTCATAGGATGGCTGGTATTTTTCCTTTTCTTGAGGTGCTCTCTTCTCCATCTTTTCTCTGTCTGTCTTTTGCTTCCTGTCAGCACCTTTGGGCTACAAATAATTATGAACAGGAGACAATGAGTTACAGTGGTACCATTAACTTTATATTTAATTTACAATGGCATGATTGGGTAATTTAAGATTAAATTAAGTTGGAAATCGTGGGATTACACTGTGACTATAAACCAACAGAGCAAAACTGCATTAACATTGCATTAGGAGGAAAATGGTTCACTGCAAACTAGTTTATTTCAAGATAATAAGAACGGAATAATAACATCATGCTTGCTAAATAAAACTGTATAACAATTACAACATTACCACTGCAATTGTGAAGAACAGAGTAATACATATTTGACTTCTAGATTAACCATTCAAAAGACACTGGCCTATAAAATAAACCTCCTACAAATATTACACGACTACAAATGATACTGATGTGTCTTAGGCCACACTGGTTAGTCATTGTATTGTTATGGTGAATTAAAAGGGACTTCATGTGCCTAAACATTAAACCCAAGTGCACAATTATCTATCTGCACCTATCCTAAAATCAACAATATTTACCTCTCCAACTAAAAATCAACATAAGATGTGGAAGTGTGCTACATTTTGAAAGTACAGAAATAACATGTTCTGCTCCCACCTTGAAGACTTTGATTTGGCAGCTGGCAGAGTGCAGGTGTTCAGTGTACTCTCCTGCTTCATTCTCCTTGAACGTGTCGATTTGGATGCGGAACGGCACTCCCTTCTCTCCACCATGCTTGCGCATTGTGAACTCTGTGCTGATGCAATGAACCTAAAACCAAAGAAACAAGAAGACACTTGTGATTGCACACCTAACATTCATACAGGCTAACAGAAAACATTATAACCTGTACAAAACATTTGAACAGATCCCATAAAGAAATAGAAGATACCTGAATGAAGGCTGAAGTCCTCTTTGAGGGGTCCCACAGGAATTCCACTGTGTTGAGCTGTGTAGGGTTTGCCCTGGGATCCACGATGCCAACAGACATAGGAATATCTAAAATAATTCAAAATGGAATGCAAAATGAATGTTTCCCTGCCATTTATTCATGTATATATCATACATTGAATTTCTATTGTTAACTGACATACAAATCAATTAAAGTGTGTCTGAGGTCTGGTTTTATACTGAAAAGTAGTTGTCAATAGGTGTAATAAGGTCATTTTGTACAATCACCATTAAGCATTTTTTTTTACCAGCACCATAAATACCTATTCTCGTTTATGCTCAATTTATTTTCTCTTGTAACTCTTTAATCCGTTCACTCTTAGGCTGAACAAGTTTAACTACTCCAATACTCTCTATGTGCTACGCTATATTTAAATCCTATATGTTTCTGTTAAAGCACCAGGCCACCCATCAAAGGAACACAAATATGAATTTCATATAATTTATGCTTAATGTTAGCTACGATTAGCAATTAATACATGAGTATGTGGGTCAATTACTATGTATAGAGCTAATATTACCTAGCTAGCTATCACAAAGCTATTTGTACACAGACAAATAACGTTTCTGTAACTAACAGATCTCTGTATATATTTAACTTGCTGTTGTACAATTCTGGCTCATCAAAAATGCAAGCTATTACTTTTTAAGCATCAATTTAACCTTTTGTTGCTGCAAGCTGCTCTAATATATCAGCAAAAGGTAGAAAAAAACAGCTCCATTCAAATCAATGGCCAAAGCACAAGCAAAACCTTTTGTAAATACAAGTTTATGTTGTTGATATGAAAAAAGCCGTACAGCACTTCAGATTTAAACACGCAGTCTTCCACTCACCTAGATCAAGGATTCTGTCACCTGGTCTATTCCAGCGCCAGCCTTCCAGCTGCTGGTGCTCCGTGTACTGCAGCCGCCGGTCATGAAACACCACACGGATGATACTCTATAGGCACCAAGACCAAAACAGCAGTGAGTAAGCAAGAGAGCACCAGTACAGTCATGACTGATAGATCTCAAAACAAACTCCTTACCTTCACCATTTTGCCAGTTATCTCCGGAAGCTCACCCATTTTCCGATTGTCCAGCATCCGAATTTCATAAGACTGTCCTACAAACATAATTTTTTAAAGATAACAGCATTCAGTCAATTTCTACACCATTACAGTTAATGCTGACAGTATTTTTTAACAGAAAGACAATCTGACAAAACTGAAAAAATATATATAACCCATTTGTGGATGCTTTTCTAGTATATATTTATTCAGAGAATAACTACAAGTCAGGACTTTTTTGTTTCTCAAAATGAATGGCAGACTTTATATGTGGAAAAGCAGCACACCATCGTTTAGCCATATGCAATCTTTTAGAATTAGCAGACCTTGGTTGAGGTAGGTGAGCGTCTCGTCATGCAGTTTAACAGCAGGTGATGTGGCAGCACACAAAACATACTGGAAAGGAAGAATCTTATTGTCATTGTCAGGAGGCAGATTGGATTCTTCCTGCTTAAAGATGGGGAGAGCCAGTACATCACTGTAGAAAGAGGAAAAGAACCCAGACAGAAAAACGTATTTGAGATTTGTCACACACCAATCTACTTATCTATTTTTTTTATACATAATCTGACATTCTTTTAATACAGTAAAGAAACATCCATAGAAAATGTCTTCCTAAAACTGATACTGATAATTGCCCTTAAAAAAGATAGAAACTAATGTTATTTTTTTTATTTGGTCACTTTTCACTTAACACTAATGACACAAAATAACGACGACACCTTCTGATCCAGTTGGTCACATATCTGCCATTAAATACTGTTAACTTAGAATGATTCTTTTAGACTGCTTTAACTATCAATGTTATCAAACCCTTCAAGTTCACTGAACCATTTAATCATTACTATGAGAGGATGACAGTGTAGTTTAAAACTGTCCTAGTAAAAGTTACATTACTGAAATTAAATGTACAACTACACTGAGATACCAAAAAACAGTCTGAAGTGCAGTAAAACTTCAAAAAACTATTCAGATATGAAATTACATAGCAAATCGAACTGCGGTGTAACTATCTGGTGCATACATTATCTATCAGCATACAAACTTAGGACTGTTAGGCACTGTTCTCTTTTTCTAGGCCTAAAATAAAATGCTGGAGCTCTAAAGTAAGAGGTGTTACTAGCAACAAAGTAGATTAAGTGCCATCAACAACAGGAAAGAATGAAATTAAACCCAAAAATAAGGAACTGGATAATAACATCCAGGCAGAAAGTAGATTACTTTTCACTTTACCTCTCAAACATACCTATTTTTTTTTTTCCATTTCACAATTACATCAAAAGATAACTCCTAAGATAACTTTTACTCAAGTATATGGAATTGAGCAAAGTTGGGTAAAGAAGCCTAAACTTATAATCATATTTACAAGTAAAAGTATTGTTAATTCAGTGAAAGAATAATTCAAGTAAAAGTAAAAATCTTTCCAAAGCTTGATTAAAGTACAAAAGTAGCAGGTTAAAACTGCACTTAGTACATCTATCATTATATGAACTAAAGTTCATGGGCTCTGTCTTTTTGATGCACCCTTGGTTTGAAATAAAATCATAAAACTCAAAATTCAGAGGTGCACCCAATCACAAAGTAGCCCAGATGCTGTCAAGTGTAAGCAACTAAATGTTAGTGACTAAACATAGCTTAACTGAGTAAAAAACAAATCTCTTCCCTCACATATATACTCAGTACAAGTAAAAGTATTACCATTTGAAAATACTCAGTAAAGTACAAATCTATCTAAATTTCACTTGAGTGTATGTAACTCAGTATATGCAACTATTTACTAGCCCCCTCTGAAACAAAGTAAATGAAAAAAGTTATTTCCCGCATCTGTTTACCATGTAATTGAACCTTCAAATCTCAGAAAACAAGTTTCACCCAATGTAAGAGTCGGTAAGCAAACTAAATCGTGGCTACTGTATCTTAAAAACAGACAAACGACAAAAGCCCGTAGGGCTGAGCTCTTGCGTACCTCATACTGTAGGCTCCAGCTCCGAGCTCCTGCCCAATGCCGGACAGACTCGCGTCGAAGTCCTGCACGAGCCCGGACTCGATCACCTCATCAGCGAGCGGTAACTTCAAAGCCCAGGCCATCGCGAAGCTCTCAGCTCTAACCTACCTCAGGTCCGACTGACCACTATCAAACACCCTGGCCTCGATTCCCTTCGTGTTTTTTGGGCAGCTCACACACACCTGTCCAGAAGAATGAATTATAACTGATAAAATATGCGAGCCATACTCATGCAGGCTGGCTGGAACTCTATATTAAAGTATAGATCATGTCCACAGATTTAACGAGCCTGGTCACATGTAAATAATGTAAATGGCAGTTTCGAATCAAACAGCTCGACCATTTTAGAGAGGTAAATCCACAAACGTCAACATTTAGCCCACTAAACTGAATAAAGCTAGCTGTTCGGTTTGTAGTTAGATGTGATGATGCGAGCAGTTAACGTTAGCTGCATGTGATCAGGCGCCTTAACTGCTGCCTCTTCCGTGCTGTGTTAGGTCTAACTTAAGTTTAAAGTGTGCTGAACGGTGTAAAATAACACCTGTAATACCAGCGATACAGTTTTGAAAATGGGATATGATATGACCAAGCCATGGAAAAAAAAAATCCATCTAGCCATACATCAATTTGTTTATTCCCACAACTTCACTGATTCCTCACGCCATGCAAACAAGATGAAGAGGCAAACACTTAAAGTGCCTACTACGAACGTGTTATTCGTTTTTCTTTTGCTAAGTAATAAGAAGGAAATCCTTTGAAATGCCGTTGACATTCGGCGGTTATCTCCATTTTCGTCAGCATACTTACCCTTGGCTACAACTGAATAAGTTGGTTGCAACACTCATCGTTCACGCCATATTTTAATCCGTCGTCTTTGGAATGAAGCAAACAATTTAGTTAGCTCGCTAGTTGGAGTCGGAGAGAAAACTGTCAACTTAAGCTTTTTCGAAAAAATGTTTTAGACCCAAAATGGCATAGGAAGGTGATCTGCTCGAAAGAAATCGACAAAATAGAGGCACGATCAACACACTGCAAATAAAAATTATATAGAAGACATGTTTGTTTATCTGTTCTATTCACAAGATTGCCGTAATATCCGCAGTCGTCTTCCTCGTCGGTTGCGCAAGCCAAAGTGCAGGACTGCCCCCTGTGGCATTGGGTGTGAAACTAGAACAGTTGAGTTTGTGACTTTTCCTGAGAAAATTGTCTGTGGTCACTGCATGATGTAATTAATTCTTGGAATGATGCTGGAAGACAGTAGTATGAATCTGTTTATTATGCTTTAGCAATGCGCAACTATATTGTTATCCGATTTATATTATTCTTTTTATTATTATTCTTATTTTTCTGCCGGATTTCCGCCGCGTAACTTGTCCGGCAGTTTTCGAGATATCAACTCCGTTCCAATTCCAGATTGTCCGGTCTGATTGTGTGATGCGTGCTTGTATACAGCTTTTTGATCGGATTTTGCGCATTTTTTTACCATAGGAATGAATGGGGTGAAAAATTGCATGTCAATCTATGTACTTCTGCTGAACGAAAGACACCATTTCGTATACACTATATCAGGACAAGCCCCCAAGCACAAATTCACTGTTGTTCTGACCCGCACTCGTCCGTTTGTCGTTTTTTTCCATCCCATATTCCTCCCATAGAGTCCTATTCATTTTTGCCACCACTCAAACTCCATTACGTCTTTGCCCGACAGCCACCGAAATGCATGCACTCACTCAGGGCAGATACCCAAGCTCTAATCCACAGCCATACTAACCCACACTCCTTTATATGTCGTTTTTTCATCCCTCGTTCCTTCCATAGAGTCCCATTCATTTTCGCCACCACACAAACTCTACTACTTCTTTGTCCGATAGCCACCAAAGTACATGTCCTCATTTAGGGCAGATACCCAAGCTCTAATCCACAGTCATATTGACCCGCACTCCTCTATGTGTTGTTTTTTTCATCCCTCCTTCCTCCCATAGAGTCCCATTGATTTTCTCCCCCACCAAAACCCTAATCTGACTTTTTCTCAACAGCCACCAAAGTACATATACTCACTCAGGGCAGGTCCCCAAGCTTTAATCCACAGCCACACTGACCCGCACTCCTCTCTGTGTCGTTTTTTCATCCCTCGTTCTTCCTATAGAGTCCCATTCAATTTCTACCCCAACAAAGCCGCAATCTCTCTTTTTCCCGACAGCCACCAAAGTATGCATATACTCACTCAGGGCAGGTCCCCAAGCTCTAATCAAGGTTGGGATAGCTACTAAAAAAATTGCAGCTAGCTACAATTTAGCTACTTTTCCAGAAAACGTAGTGACTACTTTTTAGCTACTTTCAAAGCGTCATTGTCAGAATGTTTGTGAATCTCCACCTGACACACCAAACAAGCCCAACTGAAAGTGTGAACAAGACACATCACCAAAAAAAAAAGTAAGTTTAAGTGTAATCAACAATCAAACCAAAGGCGTGATATCCAACAAAAATTTAGACTAAGTAAAGGTCAGTCATTTCAGGTTTTTCCTAACAAAAATCAACAAAAATAACTGGATACAAACCAAACTATTTTGTGCAAAGCATTTTAGCAGCACTGCTGAAATAAGACTGCTCCAATTTAAACATTTCAGAAAGAAATGTACAGACATGACACTCAGAGTCCTTTGTTAAACTTCAGCAACACTTTAGCCACAAAATTCTCATCAGTGACCCTGGTTCTGTTTGGGGTGAGAATCAGGCCTGCGCAGCTGAATAATCTCTCCACTGCTGCAGAGCTGTTGTGGCTCCACAGCAGAACTAGATTTTTCTTTGCTGTAAATTGTTATAACACACAGTTCTAACACAGTTTTCACAATAAATGGTGTTAAAGGCTGGAGTTAACGCATAACTGCTAATTCACCAACCTTTAATACTGAAGGCTGATGTGCAGACTGCTGGTCACACAGCAACGCAGATAACAAAAAGGCAAAGAGAGAGATTTCAGACGAACATCGATAATTTGGAGATGAATGGCATTTATAAGCACTCAGCTGGTTTCCTCATGCGTTTAATCTGCAACAAGTGGCAAAGCTGAAGTCAGCTTCTCATTCACCAGCTTCTCGTTTGAATTGTCCCGTTCCACCTTAAATGGCGCAGCAGTACAATCTGGTGCCTCAGGCACCATTTAAGGTGGAACGGGACCATTAGAACGTTCCACCTTACATGGTGCAGCAGTACATTCTGGCGCCTCAGGCACCATGTAAGGTGGAACGGGACAATTCGAAAGAGAAGCTGGCAAATGAGAAGTGACTTCAGCCTTGTAAAAAGTCGATCATTGGGAGACATTTTACAAGAAACTTGTGGAGAAGTTTCCTGAGATGCGGGAAAAGTGGCAAGCGGCTACAGCTGAGCTAAAGGTTAAAGCAGAGCAAAGTAAGTCTGCATTTTCGTTTATATTATATTTGTAGCCTGTACTAGCACATTAGCACATACAGAGACATATTTACAGCCAAGACGGTAAAACGAACATAAAATTTTGTGGCTCCCAAGGTGGTTTGATTTTTGTTGGATGGACAAAATGGCTCTTCTTAACATTTCGGTTTCCGACCCCTGAGCTAAGCCTGCTAGTAAGGGGTGATCAGCGCGTGGGACGCGCATGACTGTTTGCTCTAACTGTCCACGACTCAGTCAGGATTGCACATTCGTCACCAGCCCAGTTAACAGCTGCATTCTATGGTTCACATTTTGCGTGGATTGTCGGAAGCCTGTAGCGAAATTGTAGTGAAAATTATTGCTATAGCTACACAAAAATGTGTAGCCACTACAGCTATTAGCTACATTTCATAAAACTGTAGCAGCTACAGCTATTAGCTACAAAAAATTATAGTTAGCTACAAAAAGTAGCATGCTACTTACTCCCCCATACCTGGCTCTAATCCACAGACATACTGACCCGCAATCCTCTATGTGTCGTTTTTTCATCCCTCGTTCCTCCCATAGAGTCCCATTCATTTTCACCCAAATGGTAACCCTGTTTTTTACTTTGCCCATCAGACACCAAAATGCATGTACCAACTCAGGGCAGGTCCCCAAGCTCTAATCCAAAGTCATACTGACACGCACTCCTCTATGTGTCGTTTTTTTATCCCTCGTTCCTCCCAAAGAGTCCTATTCATTTTTACCCAAACCCCAGCCCAGTTTTTTTTCTTTGACCAACAGACACCAAAATGCATGTACTAACTCAGGGCATGTCCCCATGTTCTAATCCAAAGTCATATTGACCCACACTCCTCTATTTGACGTTTTTTCATCCCTTGTTCCTCCCATAAAGTCCCATTCATTTTCGTTGCAGAGACATTTTGAGCAATGTGAGCAACTAGAGCTCCTGCACACTGAACTGAATAACAAGTGCAAGCAACCAGAGGAGCCCCTGAGAGTGTTAGCGAAAGACATTGAGAGTTTGGCTAGACATGCATATGCTCACATGCATATCCATGCTCCATCTATTCAGAGTGAACTGGCTAGAGATTAGCCCCTGGAGTTATGCACATAGACACAGCTGGATTACCCAAAGACATTGCATGAAGCTTTAGAGCTGGCTTTGGAGAGAGAGAGTGTCAGAACTGTTGTAGCTGTTGCAGAACCCCATGCTCTGAACTGAGGGTCTTTTGGGGGTGAAGACCACCTCATTTGTGACTGCCCCAGCCACCCAAAGGTGCAGGTGACCAGTCCCTACAACCAATGACAACTTAAAGGTTTTCTCGGATTGGCGTCTTATTACCGGAGGTTTGTGCATGGCTTCTACTGTTTGGCTGACCCCTTCTTTAAGCAACTGCAGAAAGGTCTTCACGTGGACTGAGGACTGCCAGAAGGTCTTTTCTGACCACAAGAAGGCCTGGTCCTTCTGAGGCCCCTGTGCTCAGGCCACCTGACTGTATATTGCCGTTTATCCTGGGCACAGATGCCAGCAATACTGGGATGGGAGCTGTACTTGCTCAGATAGGTGCTGAAGGAGAGCAAGAGGTGGCATACTATAGGCAGACATTCAAGAGCTGAATGCAGATATTGTGTGATCTAATGAGAACTGTTGGCTGTAATATGCTCTGCCTGTCACTTCAAGTACTATCTGTGCTAATTGCCTTTTACCTGACTGGGACTGATCATGCTGCACTTCAATGGCTAAAATCCTTCAGAAAGCCAGAAGGTCAGATTGTAAACTGGATTGAAGAACTGCAGTCATACAACTTCCAAGTTGTGCACAAGGCAGGGTGGACACCAATGCTCTCTCCCATCACCCTTGAGCTACTGAGGGGTATAAGTACTGTGAAAAGAGAGAGGCCCAGGAGGTTGTGCTAAGGAACCAGGAGGAGGCCTCTGCTCCTGTATGCCAAGAGGGCCTGCTAGATGGTGGAGATAGCTGAGTGGAGGTATCAACAGAAGTGTGACCCAGACCTACAGCCTTTCATACTGGTTGGAAACATAACATAGGCTGCCTTGGGAGGAGATGGCAAATTTATTTAATTTATTTTTTTTATTTTATTTATTTTATTTTATAGCAGCTTTGCAGAAAATTCAGGTTTGAGCCCCCATGAGCAAGCCAACGGCGACAGTTGCCAGGAAAAACTCCCTAAGAGCAAGAAGAAGAAACCTTGAGAGGAACCATGACTCAAATGGGGAACCCGTCCTCCTCTGGTTGACACCAGATAGCAAAACAAAAGCACAAGAGCAAATAAACAGAGGTGAAGATTTTACAACTAATGCTTTAATTAATTCTGTTAATTAAACGTTGAATAGAGAAAAGGAAAAATGAAAACAAACCAGCCACTGGACCAAACAATGACAACTGATGATTACTGTTAGAGGCCTATCAGAGTAACAACAAAAAAGAGATCTATGAAAATCAGCCACAATTACCAATGAAAACCAGTGACTACTATTACGAGCGTATTACAGGGAAAAAAACATGAGCGTCAGTAACTACTGTTAGAAGCCTACAGTGATGATCTGTTAGTGTGAAACTGAGAAGTTCAGAGTACTGTGAGGCAAGGGAAGCAAGGTCTATGATTAAACAGTTTGTGAGGCAAGTGAAGCAATGTCTATGATTAAATAGTTTGAGTTTTTGCAGGCAGCAGTATCATGAGGAACGTCAGTGGCCTGCAGG